AGCAGCAAGGCATTCCTGGGAAATATCCCACCCTCTGACTTCACCACCTCAACCAAGCTTCAAAATCATCATAGCTGCATACCAGTATTAAATTGTTTGTTTAAAACTAATACTCTGTGTGTGTGTGTGTGTGTGTGTGTAATATAGTCTTTTGGCTGGTGAAAAAAATGTCCCTGGAACCTAACCCCCTCTATTTACATTAATTCTTACGGGGAAATTGGATTTGCTTAACATCGTTTCACTTAAAGTCGCATTTTTCAGGAACATAACTACAATGTTAAGCGAGGAGTTACTGTATTACGGTTACATCTTCTGAAGCCTTCAATTATTGTGGTAACATATACCTCTAATACACTGTCAACTTAAGCGTTCTGCCTTTGGATTGATGACTCCAAAGAGATATTATAACTTGTGTGGAAATAGAGCAAGAACTGACAGGGATTTGATGGGGATTTCAATGCAAACAGTCTCTTCTGTGAGCAAGAGTCAGGCTAGCTGTTAGCCTAATAACGCGAGATTTGTAGAAGCGAGGATTGTGTGAGGCAAATGGGAAAGAACTGTGTGAGAATTTGTTGCGGCCTTGTGTAGATAAATATGGAATGTAGACTAGAGTCTAAATAGATGTGAAAAATAAGATATCAGGATGACCTATGTATAAACAAAATGCAGCTGTTGCTCATTATTGTATGTAACAAAAAGTATAAATGCTTGCTGTAATTGTTTACCTGTAGAAAAACCTGTTTAGCCCTCTCCCTCTATGCAATTGCTTGAGAATAAAGTATTTGACTTTGCTGCTCCCAACCGAAGGAGTGAGAACTCTGTTTTTCTCCAACAATTGTGTTATTACAACTCTTTTGGTTGTGACATTATTAACATGTCTTATCAGTGTCCAAAATGTTAATTTTTAAAACCATAAAAGGGGATCATAAAACATGTTGCAACTTCTAACAAACTTTTCTCTAAACTATATATACTAAAGAAGTTTCATATCTCATATGGTTTTATTATAATTTACAAGGGGTCTAAAGACAATGTTGCCATGTAATGTTTTTTGGAATAAAACTATAACTAAGCTCAAATTGAATTTTCTACAATATTTTGAAGGAAAAGAAAAATCAAATAAGCTCACAAACGACAATCATTTTTCATTAATTCTCTCACTCCAAAACACAGTTTTTAGGTAACTGTATCAGCCCCACTAAAATGAAGAATCTGGCACAACCTCTACTATGGTGTCACTGCTACTTCACCATATTGCACTGGAAAATTTACTAAAATGGCTGACTTGAAAAACCAACCCCCTAAAACAATATTGTATACATTACATACAACAACAAAACTATGTTAGAAGAACATTATTTAGGCAGCAAAGTTGAAGTATTCAACAATTAAGAAATTCCAGACTGAAGGTTACACAAGAAACCTTAAGTTGGCCCCACCACATGTCCATCCTGTGTACTGAATACGGCGGGGTCCTATGCAAAAAAATAGTATATAATAGTATATAATCACATAATCACTAAATCACACATAATTGTACCATAGAGCATGTGCCCTGCAGGGTGGGGCAGGGTGTCAAGACAAAGAATTAAGGTTAACTGTAGGCAGCTGTATAACCTGGAATTTCCAAATTTTGGAGTGCTTCATTCTGCAATCTAAAATGTTATTTTAATTTCCTATGTTTGGTTTTGCTTTAGAGGAAAAAGCTACAAACAAATTCTACTATGTATAAGTACAAGCTGAGCCCTCCCCACCCCTCCCCCCGCAAATCATGCATCATTAGTAGGGTTAATATTTTGTCTCAGTTGTTTTTAGTAAAAGTCATGGACAGGTCAGGGGCAATAAACAAAAATTCATGGAAGGCCGTGACCTGTCCAAGACTTTCACTAAAAAGAACCGAAGGAAAGGGCTGACTGCAGGGGGAGACTGACAGCCTGAGCCCCACCACAGAGGGGATTGACAGCTCCTGCCTCTGCCGGGGGGGAGGGAAACAGCTTCAACTCCAGCTCCAGTCGCTGGGGTGGGAGGACAGCTCCAGCCTCAGCTGCTCTCAGATCTGGCCCCAGCTGCAGGACGGGGACAGCATCAGTCACTGGTGTGGACAGCTCAGCCGTAGCCACTGAGGGTATGGGGACTATTCCAACCCTTGCGGCTGACAGCTCCAGGCCCAGCCCCAGCCACTAGGGGGATGGGGACAGTTCCAACCCTTGCGGCCGACAGCTCCAGCTCCAGCCCTGGCCCCAGCCACTGGGGGGATGAGGACAGTTCCAGCCCTTGCGGCTGACAGCTCCAGCTCCAGCCCCACCCCAGCTGCTGACAGCTGCGTCCCAAGCTGCGGGGTGGGGACAGCCGCAGCCACTGTGGGGGTCAGGGACAGCTCCGGCCCCAGCCACTGACAGCTCCTCACCCCCATCAGCAGGACAGTGTGCACTGCTGCCGTTGCTCTAGCAGTAGCATCAGCTTGGACTTAAAATGCTTGTATATTTAGGGGTGGGTTTTTTTAGTTTTTTTACTATTTATTTATTTGCATACTGCCAAAATTACCCTGAGAAACAAACGCAAGAAAGAGGAAATGACATTTTGTAATTGTTCATATATTAGCAATCGTTGAACAGAATTTCCAGGGAGAGAGAAAAGGCACTCAGTAGGCCCCTTCCCAAATATCAAAGGCCTGCTGCAAGCAAAGATCAAAGAAAAGGTCATAAGAATCTCTTATAACGGAAAGCGTTAGGCAAACTAAATAAAGGGGACACTATCAGCTCCTGCTCTAATATATAAATTAAGAATTAACTTATTTGATTTTCTTTCTCATTTGAAGAGAAATGTCTCATAACAGTTACCTGTTCAACTACTATGGCATTTTGTAGCGATGTACTCTCTTGCAGATGGGATACAAATAATCTCATATGGGACATAAAATCCTTGAAAGTAGAAACCTGTATACCGAGAGTAAAGAAATGATAAAATTCAGCAAAAGACGTTTTAGTTAACAGCAATAATCAATAGTCCTTGCAAGGTGGGAAAAATACCAAAGAAACCCACCACAGTAGCATTTAACTTAAAGAAGGGGAAAACTATAATAAAATAAGGAAGCTAGCTAAATAGAAATTAAATGGAATAGGCACAAGAGTGAAATGCCTGCAAACTGCATGGATACTTTTTTAAAACACCATTATAGAGGCTCATACTAAATGTATACCTCAAATTAAAAAAAAAAAAACATTAAAGGACCAAAAAAAAGCTACCATGGCTAAACAGAGTAAAAGAGGAGGTTAGAAACAAAAAAGTCATCCTTTGAAAATTGGAAATCAAATCCAATTGAAGAAAACAGAAAGGTGCATAAATTCTGGCAAATCAAATGTAAAAGTACAATTAGGCAGGCTAAAAAAAATGTGAAGAGCAACTATCAAAAGACACAAAAACGAACAGCAAATTTTTTTTAAGTACAAGAGAAGCAGGAAACCTGCCAGTCAGTGGGGCTATGAGACAACTGAGGTTCTAAAGTAGGACTCAAGGAAGACAAGGCGGTTGCAGAGAAGCTAAAGAAATTCTTCGCATTGGTCTTCACTGTAAAAAATGTGAGGGAGATTCCCAAACCTGACCCATTTTTTTTTCAGGAGACAAATTTGAAGAACTATTAAAGACTAAGGTGTTAACAGAGAAGATTTTGGAACAAACTGATAAATTAAACAGTAATAAGTCACCAGGACCAGACGGTATTCATGCAAGAGTTCTGAAGGAACTCAAATATGAAATTGCAGAACTACTAATTCTGTTATGTAACAGGAGAAGAGCTAATGTGATGCCAATTTTTAAAAGTGGCTCCAGAGGCAATCCTGGCAATTATAGGCCAGTAAGCCTGACGTCAGTACCGTGCAAATTGGCTGAAACTATAGTGAAGAACAGAATTATCAGATACATAGATCAGGGTTTCTCAAACAGGGGTCGCCGCTTGTGTAGGGAAAGCCCCTGGCGGGCCGGGCAGGTTTGTTTACCTGCCCCATCCGCAGGTCCAGCCCATCGCGGCTCTCACTGGCCGTAGTTCGCTGCTCCGAGCAAATGGGGGCTGCTGGAAGTGGCGACCAGTAAGTCCCTCGGCCCGTGCCGCTTCCAGCAGCTCCCATTGGCCCGGAGCAGCGATCCAGGAGCTTTCCCTACACAAGCGGCAACCCATCTGAGAAACCCTGACATAGATGAACATGATTTGTTGGGGAAAAGTCAACATGGTTTTTGTAAAGGGAAATGCCTCACCAATCTATTAGAATTCTTTGAGGGGGTCAACAAATCTGTGGACAAGGGTGATCCAGTCGATATATTGTATTTGGAATTTCAGAAAGCCTTTGACAAGATCTCTCACCAAAGGCTCTTAAGCAAAGTAAGCAGTCATGGGATAAGAGGGAAGGTTCTCTTGTGGATCAGTAACTGGTTAAAAGATTAGAGGCAAAAGGGTAGGAATAAATGGTCAGTTTTCACAGTAGAAAGAAGTAAATAGCGGGGTCTCCCACAAGGTCTCCCACATACTGGGACCAGTGCTGTTCACCCTATTCATAAACAATCTGGCAAAAAGGGGTAAACAGTGAGGTGGCCAAGTCTGCAGATGATACAAAATTACTCAAGATAGTTAGTCCAAAGCTGCCTGCAAAAGGTTCTCACAAATCTGAGTCACTGGACAATAAAATGGCAGATAAAATTCAATACTGATAAATGCAAAGTGATGTACATTGGAAAACATAATCCCAACTATACATACAAAATGATGGGGTCTAAATTAGTTGTTAGCAGTCAAGAGAGATCTTTAAGTCTTCTTGGATAGTTCTCTGAAAACATCTGCTCAATGTGCAGGAGAAGTCAAAAAAAGCGAGGAACCATTAGAAAAGGGACAGAAAATAAGACAGAAAATATCATAATACCACTATATAAATCCATGGTATGCTCACACCTTGAATATTGCATGCCGTTCTCCTCACTCCATCTCAAAAAAGATGTATTAGAATTGGAAAAGGTATAAAGAACAGCAACAAAAACGATTAGGGGTATGGAACAGCTTCCATATGAGGAGAGATTAAGAAGACTGGGACTGTTCAGCTTGGAAAAGAAACGACTAACGGGAGGGATATGATTGAGGTCTATATAATCATGAATGGGATGGAAAAAATGAATAAGGAAGTGTTATTTACCCCTTCAAATAACACAAACATACACAAATAACACAAAAACACAAAAAAAGGGTCACCCAAATTAGTAGGCAACAAGTTTAAAGCAAAGAAAAGGAAGTACTTCTTCACACAATGCACAGTCAACCCGTGGAACTTGTTGCCAGGGGATGTTGTGAAGGCCAAAAGTATAACTGGGATCAAAAAAGAATCAAGTACGTTCATGGAGGACAGGTCCATCAGTGACTATTAGTAATACTCTGGGTGTCTCTAACACTCTCACAGCCAGAAGCTGGGACTAGATGACAAGTGATGGATCACTTGTTAATTGCCCTGTTCTGTTCATTCCCTCTGCAGCAACCAGCACCAGCCACTGTTGGAAGAAAGAATATTGAGCTAGATGGACCATTGGTATGACCCAGCCTGGCCACTCTTATATTCAGTGGACCTAATTCTGTTGTGCTACATACCAACCCATTAACTTAACAGTCATTAAAACAATGGAAACTTACAGTATACAAAGCGGAGAGTTGTTTAAACCACAGTATAAATCCTTTGTTACCACAATCTTGCATCGTACTGTGACAGGCTGCAGGGGCAACAACAGCTACCTAGTAAAGAGGTAACTCAGACTTTCCTTTACTATTCCCCTTGCACAGGTGATCAGGGGAAGGGGACAGAAGAATAGCTGTTAGGAAGCTTGGGGGAACAGGCCTTGTCTTCTCCAGCAAGTTTCCCCTATAAAGTGTGGTTGTATGTTTTATTTTTTGTTTTTTTAAGAATGTCCATGTATATGGTAACTAGATAATTAAGCTAAGCCTTGTTAATTAAAAAAGGATTAAACAGATATGTCCCAATACAGAAAAATGTTAATAGCAAGAATAAGAAATTAACTAGACATACGTGTCTTCTATAGTATTTTCTGATTTGTCCACTCATGGTAATCTTGATCACTGCATAGCGCCGTATGCAGTAGACTGTTCTTTTCTCGGGATCTAAGATTTGAGAGACCACTTCCACAAGTTTATCATGAGGAATAGTATCATAAGCCCCAGTGACATCAGCCTGAAATAGGGAGGAAAAAAAAAAGCAATCCCATATTATGCTACTGTAAGTACTCTCATACACATAAGAACAAAGCTAAGGTAAAAGGACAAAATTGCACAGAATGTATTAGGCTGGAGGAGGACTGTTAGGCCAGTTAGTCCAATTCAGTGACAAAAATGAAAGGCTACTCTGTGTTCTCTATGTTGAATAATCCATTCCCTTATTCAGACAAGTGGGTATGCTCAAACGATCAGCTTTAATTGAATTTAAGCTGTTATTATAAGGGGAGTGATAGAGGTTGCTATATTTAGATTGCTTAACACCTATTATTAAAAAAATAGTATCGGACCATGATAATAGAAATTGGCATATTTTGAGTACATAAGGAGCAGAATTAAGTTTTCAAATGAAACATTAAATCAAACATTTCTGAACTTTCCAGTGCTTGACTCTGCATTCTAAATAACTTTATTGTAATCATTTTTGCAGGTGTTTTAAAAATGTTTCTATGCATTATGACCATGAAGATGATCTATCTAATGTCTTCCTGAATTTGCAGACAGACAGCTGCTGTGCAACCTACCACTGTTCATGGCATTGTCAAATAAAGGCAAAGTAAAGTTAAGTGTCAGGTCAGTTTCACTAGCAGTGATGCTGTTTGGAAAAGCAATGAAAAGCACCTGAGGCAAACAACAGAACTATTCACAGGAGAGGACTGCCGAAAATTGAGGTTAGGGAAGCAATAGAGGAGCCTAATCCCACTGGATCGTTCAGAAATGACCCTCACCTTGGGTTATCAATGTACCTAACCATAAGACCTTCAATGCTAAAAGCATGAGCCTCTTCCACTTTAACTCAAGTAGTAACTCCCTTAATTATTTAATCTCTTAAGTGGACCAGCCACTAGGAGAGAGACAAAAACACACATTGGGTTACATTTGTAGCAGCGAGGAGACTATGGGGTGAGCTTGGGTGTTGCACCTCCAGCAGGAAAAGGAGGGTAGGCAGAAGGGGAAGGCTCCAAATTTATCCAAAAGATTTACTAGTTAGAGGCAGACCAAAAACAAACAAAAAAAGCAGCTTTTGAAGTAGGGTCAGGTACAGAAGCTGAGGCTAAGCGGGCTGGGCTTCCCACCAGAATGGTGCTCCTGAACTTCGCCCATCTAAAACCTTCACACATCCAGGTCATCTTTCACATCAGCATTTTGTACTCCACACAGAATTCATATGGCCCATATTTTTCTGTGCCCTCCAAGCAGAAAAACACACACAAAAATCTGCCGGGGGACACACGCTGTGACGTTACACTCCATATTCTTCATAGAAATATTATTATGATATGAATATGGCATAACTAAGTTTTATGCAAGATAGGTCATGTGAGATATAATTGAAAAGGTTATGTTTTGTTGAATGTGTTTATCCAATCTGTATGCATGTATCATTTCTGTATCTGGAGTTAGGGATATTAACTATGTAACAATTACAACTGTGTTTTCACCCGGGAAACGCCCACCAGACAGTAGGCAAAGAGCCTGGATGAGCCATTAAGGAGAACAATAGGACTTTGAAAATGCTTATCTCACTCCTTCCTGAGAAGTTTCCTGGGATGCTGCATTGGCACTGCAGGGTCAGGTGACCCTGGACAATATCTTAACTTGCTGGTACTTTTCCACTGTAGGGGGATGGGGATCAAACAAAGGATTACCGCCTTAGGTAAATCTTTTTTAAGGCTGGGGAGGGGATTAATCTTGACTCTCCTCCATTGCCTGCCCAGGAAGGAAGACTGCTAAAAACACCTGGGAGGGAAAGGCAGGGTTGAGTCCAGGCTGAGACAGGCGTCCAGTCTGTAAAGAGAAATAACTGTAACTCTAAGCTACAGAAACTCTTAAAACAACATTTAAGGTGAGAAATTACATTTGGTTTCTTGAGCGTATTAAGCTTAGTTTGCGTGTTTTGTTTTATTTGCTCGGTAATTTGCTTTGTTCCGTTTGTTATCCCTTATAATCACTTAAAATTTAACTTTTATAGTTAATAAACTTATTTCTTGTTCATTTCAAGACCCGGTTTGTGAAATTCATATCCAGGGTGGGAGAGAGGAGGCAAAAAGTTGTGCATCTCTCTCTCCACCTGGAGGGAGGGGGCAATTTTTATGAGCTTGCGTTGTGCAGATCTTTCTATATTGCGCAAGACAATATTATTTTGGTTTTACACCCCAAAGGAGGTGTGCACGTGAGTGTTGGATAAATCCTTGAGCTGAATCTTTCCACACACAACTGATTTCAGTCTGTGTCTGCAGCTGGGTGTGGCCTTACCTGCGTGTGTACTAGAGAAGGCTTGAGGGCCTGGCACAGCAAGGACAGGGTGAGGAAGCCCAGGCTGGTGGTACGTGCGGATGCAGTGGGACCCCAGTACATCAGGTGGCATCCTGGATGGGGGGTCCAACCCGTCACAAGCACCAATTCCCCAGCAGCCCAGGCAGCACATCTGTTCCAGCGTGCCTGGAGCAGCCTCAGAGACGGGGAGGGAGGCTGGGCATGCGTGCCTGCATGGTTGATCACCATCGGGGGGGCGAGGGCGTGGGGGTAGTGTGCGTGCCAACAAACAAGAGAGAGAGAGAGAGAGAGACTCTGTCCCTCTCATTTGCTATTGCAGCTCGCTGGCATGGAAGGGTAGGGCTTTTTATTATGCACAAGGCAGGCTAGAGGCAGAAATGTAGCAGCCTGCCTGTTAGTTAAATCATCTCATTCTCTGAGGCATAACTGTAGCAGCCTGACTGTGTAATAACGTTAAAGTTGCTGTTGATGGTTAATTGTTCTCATTCTTTGAGGCAGAAATATAGCAGCCTGTACTAACATTGTTAATGTTCCTATTGTTAGTTAACTATTCCCATTCTCTGTTAATTCCCCCAGGAGCATAAAACCTGTGAAAGTTTTAAGGCCCCTACATTGCCAGAGTGATGTAAAAGAGCCTTATTATAAATGACAGTAAGGGAATAGTTACTTATGTTCTTCTTATGGAATCCTCAACTAGGAAGATTTATGTTCTTTTTCACTTTTTTCCTGTGCCGAAATGGCACAATGGGGTTAGATTTCAACTCAGGATTTATTTTATTTACTCATTAACAAACAAACAAACAAACAAAAGACTTTGAAGGCAAATAGAACATTTACCAAGCAGTTAATAAAATGTCAGGACAATCAGAATCAAGCACTTCCCAAAGTACCCAGCCAGGTCCAGGACAATGATTAGCAAAACTGTATGACTCATGTGTGAAAGTCTGAGCAATTTAAAATGACATTCTACTTTTTTTTTTCCTGTTTGGTGTTCTGTAATATAATTTAAATGAAAATCCAGGATTATAACTGGAATTCAGGGTATTAGTTACCAAGTATTTGTAACTTAACTTTCATGTGTTTAGGAAATGCTGAATAGTTATTGTGACATTTTTCTGTATTGTAGTTTAAATAAATTACCAAAACAACTGAAACGGCTGTGATTATATTGTATTATTTTGACAAATAAAATATGCAGAATTTTGCAAAATTTTGAATTTTTTGGCATAGAATCCCCCCCGGGAGTAATTTTGCTTACAGAGATACTCTTCTGACTCAAAACCCATCTGGCAAGTCTTCCCAAGCCCTGAACTTACATTTTAAAGAAAATAAAATCCCAACCAACACACCCAAACCTGCTCATATACACTTATACAAAAAGTGCTAGAAGCTATTAAACAAGTACATACATGATCCATAATAGTTTGACTACTACCTGATTCAAATATTCTAGAAGAGAAATGAAACCCTCCCCTCACTGGGAAAGAATCAGCCTTATGCAAACAGAAAAATCCAGTGAAAGCAGCTCCCTGTGCTGCATTAAGAACATCAGCTGTTGCTGAAAAACAATTGTACACTCAGCTCATGGCTAGTAGAAAAGCTTACTTTTAAGAAAAAAGTGGTCCTAAATAATATTAAAAAAATAATAAAAGCCTTCATTATTTCAACAAGATCAGTTTGAACAATGGAGAAAAAAAATAATGGAAACATACCTTCACATAGTAGAAACGAGGTATTTTATCATTTGATTCAAGAACTTCAGAAACAAACTTCCTCCATATTTTATATATATCATCTTTCCCAAACACTGAGGAGCCTAGAAGACTGGTGTTTTCGGTTCGTTCATAATTCAGAACACTAAATAGATTTTTAAGTTGAGTGTTGAAATAATGAACCTATGGGAAACCAAAAGCCAAAAACTTAAAATATTATATTTCACGTTCAGTATATAGATTTTACTTACAAAAAAATGAGCATCCAGGGCTCTCTAATAATTACTGAAATCACAGAGTGTTAAAAAAAGGCAAATAGACAAAACTGACTCATATCTTTACTATATTTTCTCTAGTAAGCTGCACTACACAAAAAGCCTCAATAAATGCTTTAATGGTCATTGTTACAGAAACCACCTCAAAGCTTTTATTCCTGTTGCAAACAATTTTACATTACATAACTATCCTGCAGCCAATCAGAGCTGTACACAACTCCCTCTGAAACCAACAAATGACATCCAAGAGTTGTCAGAGCTGGCTGCTCAAGATGCTGAAGACCACAAAATTGCCCCCTCAGGATTCCCAGCTCTTGCCTGTCTCAGAGTTTGGGGATTAGGAATCGTCCCAAATTTGTACACAGATTGCAGAATTCTCACCCTCTCAAAGTTATATGTTAATCATGACAAAGGTGTACAGAAATTTGTAATTTCCGAATTTTTTTGGTGTTTCGGAGCATGTTTTTACACTGAAAAATCAATTATAGATTTCAATAAAAAGCTGTGAAAATCAAGCAGATTAGATTTTATTTCTTTAGTATAACAATTCTACTGTGTCTGATTTTACTTTAATGGTTTACATAATAAGATTAGTAATTATTTTTAACAAAATTACTGGCTAATTTACTTCTCCAACTTTTTTTTTTAAAGTGTCCTTGGTTAATGGTGAAAGTCACACTCTGTCATTAATCACATCTAGACAATGACCACAAAAGCCCCACATTTAAAAAAAATAGTTTGCACCTGCAAAATCTGCTCCTTAAATTGTACTGCTGGTGTAAAACTAGGTACCTGCACCTCAAGTTACCCCATTATAGGTAGAGAAAAGCTACAAATTACACACAGAAAAGGGATACCGGGTCACATACTTCTTGTACAGAATAGGTTGCATGGCTGCTACTAGCAGATCAGGCACCTGTATCAGATATAGACAGACTACAGAGATTACTTCTCAGAGACACTTATCAGATGTGTTCACTATAAGATTCTTTAATGCTCTGCCAAGTATGCTAAGGTTAGTTTAAGTAAGGCATTTTTATGTGGTTGACCACTATAATACAGTTTAGCATTCCATTACCTCTCACTCTTTAAAGTTCTACATTCCTACCATTTACAAATATACACTGTGACAGACCCAGACCAGTGGGGTACAGGAGTCTGGTAGAGGGCAAATATACTGGTCACTGGATGAGTAGTTTTCTGTTCCCTGAGAGACCAGAGAAAGGGGCTGCACTAGAGTAATCAGGAACCTGCTAGAACCAGTTAAGGCAGGCAGGCTAATTAGGACACCTGGAGCCAATTAAGAAGAAGCTGCTAGAATCAATTAAGGCAGGCTAATCAGGGCACCTGGGTTTTAAAAGGAGCTCACTTCAGTTTGTGGTGTGAGGAGCTGGGAGCAAGAAGCTGAGAGGGAGAGCTGAGGAGCACAAGTGTTATCAGACACCAGGAGGAAGGTCCTGTGGTGAGAATAAGGAAGGTGTTTGGAGGAGGCCATGGGGAAGTAGCCCAGGGAGTTGTAGCTGTCATGCAGCTGTTACAGGAGGCACTATAGACAGCTGCAGTCCACAGGACCCTGGGCTGGAACCCGGAGTAGAGGGCAGGCTCAGGTTCCTCCCAATTGACCTGGACTGTGGGTTCTTCCAGAGGGGAAGGTCTCTGGGCTGTTCCCCAACCCACATGGTGAATCTCTGAGGCAAGAAAATCTGCCAATAAGTGCAGGACCCACCAAGATAGAGGAGGAACTTTGTCACAACACTATCTTTGAACTTCAGTAAGTATCAGTCTGTTAAGTGTCTCTGAATCATACTGGTTTTCTAATTACATGGCCTGAACGCATAATGGCTTAGTCATTTGACTGTCCATTAGTTGCAACAACTGGCTATGGTCAGTTTGGAATCCTTGAGTCTTCTTATTCTGCATCCACCATCTATAGAGTCTGCTCTGTTGATTATTCCTCCTGAGGAACAAACTGAAGTTGTCAATGGTTTCTCTTGAACTCTCCACTGTCAGTTGTGATCACATATGATCTGGGCCTGAATTATTTTTCTTTACAAAGCTGGAGTTGTCCAACCTCCTTATCTGTCCAATTTGTATGGTTCAGCATTGTCTGCTAAGCTATTTTTTACAGTATCTCCTTTCAAATGTCCAATAACATCAAATCCTCTGAATTCTTCCTCCTTTCTTACTTGGCCCATCATGGCTGCCATGCTGTGGCTGAGAAGGTCTTTGATCACATGTACTCTGAATGCAAAGCTTTTGTCTTTGTATGTTGTTTTTGTGGTGAACTGGCCCATAAAGTTCAGAATACCTCCAGGGCTAGTCAGAGCTGTTGGAGGTGACTTTGCCTCTTGGCGGCATTTAAGGCAATTTGTAAGCCCCTTCTGAGATGACTACAAGAAGTCGATAGTCTTATCATAAATATTCAATTTCAGTCTCCAAGCAAATTTTGTGTAGTCATAAGTGATAGACCCCATAGTTTTAATGACTTTTAGCCATCCTGCTGTTTAGAGATTCTAAGCTAGTTTCAGGTTTTTCAAGTTGCTCCTGCCTTTTCTTCTGCTGTTTGAAGAGTTCAGACTGCTTTGCTTTCTGTATAGCTGTGGATAGGATTAAGTATGCCTTCAATAGCAGCTGCTGTGAAAAAAATTTATCTGTTAACCCAATAACCAGCCTATCTGATATTTTCATGTTTTCAAATTCCAAAAATCTCAGTTTTCAGCCATTCAACATTTCCCCCTGGTTCTTGAATTCGCTGTTGAAAACATGGTCTTTCATAAACTACATTTCTCAGAGGTTATAATGTATGCATCAAACATAGCCAGAACCATTTCAGTCTCTTTTGTGAGTGTATTCAGTAAAGTCAAAGGATTTAAATAAATGCTCTGCTTCTTGCCCATATCATAAATCAAAGATGATACCTGTTACCTTGTTTGCAATGCAAAATCTTGCAAAATACTGCTTCCGGTCTACCCACTGTGAAAGTCTGTCACAGCTGAAGTGCTCTGGGTCACTGAAGAGTGGCATGTTGATGAGATCCTGCAACCTTTGTTCCTTTTGTATCTGTTCTCTTTTGGCACTAGTTGACTAGGTTGCAGGTCTGCTAGTAGCAGTTCAGGCTTCAGTATCAGATATAGACTGACTACAGAGCTTACTTCTCAAAGATTTACACCAGATGTGTTCACTATAAGATCCTTTCATGCTCTGCTACGTATGGCTAAGGTTAGCTTAAATAACAATTTTACACATAGCAGTTTAACATTCTGTTACATACTGTCCTCAATCCTAGGAGGAAAAAAATCTGCACACACACACCCCTAAGTTTTTAAATAGGTTTGTTAAAAAAATTAAGCTTGTTGAAAATTTTCAAAATATTTGATCAACTTGAGAGAGCCAAAGATTTTTTGAAAATTCAAAATGTTCTCCTGCAATTTGGTCTATTGCTGCACAAGCCAAGTTCTGTACTGGAGAACCATCAGAAAACAGGGTGGATGACAGATCTAATCCACTTTGGTGAACCTACCTGAAAATCTTAAAGACTCAGATGGGATCTTTGAAAAGACTATTAACTTGCCCAAAGGACTCAGATCTATTAAGAGAGACCTTCACAGAACTTTAAAAATCTGTTTCTTTTCTGACATTGCAATTGGAGTATGCAATTGCGGGAAAAGTGTCCTGATTCAAATGAAAAGATCACCTTGACCTTCAAAAGGAGTCAGTATAGTTCCACATGATAAAATTCCTATTTCATTTGTGCCTTTTTAAAAAGAAATTAGGGAAAACATAGCATAAAAAGCTACATCAAAAGAAAGCTAAGGTTGCAAAGTTGAGCACTCAAGAGCTAAGAACTGCCTGGCCAATGTTAATTCAACCTGCTTGAACATATGTAATGAGTATCTAATTACATGATCGCATACTTTTTTTTCATGGGCCCCCTGATCCTTTCACAGCATAGGATGGACCTGCTGGGGGGATGAATCAGGGCCACGTAGTGAATGGGGCTGGTGTCTATAGGGCTCTGGCCCCATTTGTTTCTGAAGTTGGAAAGTGTGCAGTAAATAAGGCAGGAGATTTGCAGGAAAAGAAATGATGGTCTTGTGGTTTAGGAAGTTGAATGACACCCTGGGGAAACTAATTCTATCCCTGCTTCTGCCCAAAGAATTCTTGTACATTGCTGGACAAGTCACTTAAAACAATTAATGGCCATTTATGAAAATTTTGAATCCCTCATTTCATGGGTGCCCAATCTGAGGCACAAAATGCCAGATTTGCAGAAATGCTGAGTATTCACAACAGCAACTGAAGTCAATTGGAGCTGTATTTGGAACATATAAAGTATGATAAAAATGTTAAATATTCTGAAGATTAGGCCCTAGGAACATCAATTTGGGAATCCCAAATTACTTCAACAATTTTGGTCTTGATATTCTTCTGTGCCTTAGTTCCCCCATCTGTAAACTGGGAGTAGCCTTTCATTTTACCCAGGTATTGTGAATATTTGTGAAGCACTCTGATTCTATGATGAGAGCATCACAGAAAAACCCATAAGGAAATTATTAATTTAGAGTTTTTCACTGCAGGGTTTGGACTGTTTGTCCAGTATATGGTCCCATCCTCTATTTACTGCAATGAGTATTAAAATAAATGTTGAATAACTGTTCATTCAGTTAACACTAGTAAAACTATACTCTGAATGAATCCAGTGTGAGGGAAAGGGGAGGGTGCGTGGGGGGATTTGTATGTGATCTTGTAATTAAAAAGATGGTCATAATGCATATGCACGGGGGGCCCAAAATAGAGTTGCATGGCATTTCCTGACTTGAGTGCCTGAGTTTGCAATCTTATTTTAAAATTTATTCTATTTATACATAATAATATAAACAACTATCCACAACCCTCTTGGATATTAGTTACAATGTGACAAAAAAGAACATAGGCAAATTCAGAACACAGTGACCTTCTTGTCTCTGTTTTTCCTGTTCAATGTTTTTGCTCCAAAAACACTATTCACTTTTACTATAGGTCGCAACCCATTTGGTTTAGGGATGAACCGAAGTTTTGATGCCATAGGAACATATTTCTTCTGCTGTACTTTTTCAATTTCCTCTGCAGATAATGCACGAAGATGCACTTTGGCAAAATGGTTTCTAAAATAAAAACGGACATTAAGTTTAAAGCGACTTAAATACAATAAAAAGAACAGGAGTACTTGTGGCACCTTAGAGACTAACAAATTTATTAGAGCATAAGCTTTCGTGGACTACAGCCCACTTCTTTGGATGCAGACTAACACGGCTGCTACTCTGAAACCTGTCATTAAATACAATAAGTTGCATATATTTTATCTTCCGAGTGAAGTATTCAGTTTCAGGAAATAATCACATATTCAATTATCTGTGTGGAAACTATTTTACCAAAGGAAACAGATTATGCTAAAAGCATTATTCAGAATAGAATTAAAGTTCCTGTCCACACAACCAGTAAGGCTGTTGGAACTTGTGGTGAGAGAGACCTTTGCTTTGAATTCACTCAGCTTGTTAAGTTAGGTGTTAGTTGCGTTTTATCTTTTAGCTTTATCTTCTAGTTCTTGGTAATCAGTTCTGATTTTTATGCCTCATGACTTGTAATCACTTGAAATCTCTCCTTCTGTAGTTAATAGATGTTTTATCTAAACCAGTATGTTTGGATTGAAGTGTTTGGGAAACTTCATTTGGAATAACAGGATTAGTGCACATTTTCTATTAATAAAATGACTGACTTTATATGAGCTTATATTGTCCAGGAGGGTGCTGGGCAGTACAAGCTGCACATTTCTGGAGGGAAGTCTGGGAATGGGAGTTTGCTCATGTCGGCTGGCTATAGCACTCTTACAATATAGCTGGGAGTGATTTACACGCTGGAGGCTGTGTGTAATCAGACCAGGAGTGGTTGTTCTCACAACAAAGCAGTGTAAAAGGCACTCCAGCTTGGAGAATTGAGGGGGGGCAGTTGTCCATGAGTCCAGATTGGGTAGTGTCACACACAGGCATAAGGACCCACCTGCATGGATCAGATTTTAGGATGGGGCCACAGGGTGCAGAGTCCCATTCAAGTAAATGGGTCTGTATGCAGGGGTCCACTTCCATGGATCACACTGCAGTGTTGCTAGTGTTTTATTTTTTTATTTTTTGGTAAATAAAACTGCCTAGTCTTTCTGTACAGATTTTCTTTTTTAAAATCAAAGTTGAAAACATTGTTAGTATTAACTAAATAACATTAAATATTGAACTTGTTAGATGCTATTAAATATAAAATAAATTAATCTTTTGTAATGTATTAAGTGTAAAAGCCTGTGTTTGTGCACATGAAGGTTGCTAGTTTGAACCCAAGATATGATATGCCAAACAATGCTCATTATTATACAATATTTGTGTTTTGCCCAGAAGATGCAACAACCGTGGACCTGTTGTGATAATTAGGCCAAATTTATAGGCCCAATTGTGAACTCAAGTTGTGAAGCGGAAGTTAATGGAATGTTGCAATAATCTAACAACAAGTGTTGATATGAAAAGGTGTAAAAAAGCAAGACTGAATTAGTCCAAACAAAAAGGCCTACTGATATATCTCAAGGGCTCTTACGATCATGCCTGGTCAACAAGAAAAGCATGAAACTGGACCCAAATTGGTGTGTTAAAAACTAAGCCTAGTTGGTGGACAATGATTTAGTTGGGGATTGGTCCTGCTTTGAGCAGGGGGTTGGACTAGATGACCTCCTGAGGTTTCTTCCAACCCTGATATTCTATGAAAATAAGCAGATGGACTATTATGCCCATCACTTCCTTTTGGGGTTCTTTAAAAAGACTTTGGGAGGAAAATACAGACTAATGGACAGAGGCTACTGGTGATGCTAGCAGGTAAGGAGAGAACTTCACCATCATGGTTGCTATCTCATCTCTTGGGAACCTGGGCCTTCATTATCCTGATCCTGAGAGATATTCTATTAGACCAAGCCAGAGAGAGGGACCCAGCATCACCACCTTTAACTTCTCTGGCTGAAACCCAGCCACCACCTGCAACATGAGACTCTCTCGCCTTTTCCTTCCAACATCCCCTGGCCCCCATGTCCTTTTCCTTCCCTACCTTATTTAACCTCTTTCCTAACCCCCTTTTTTTTCTATCTAATAAGAATCGGTCTTAGCCAGCCAAGACTGCATATTTTGGAACACTGCAATAAGCCTGTGACCAGAAACAGAACAACTAAAACAATGTCCTAATCAGCAATGCTGGTACAAGTTTGACAGGTCTTAGGGGAGCTGATAAGCCCATGTGCTTTGCCTATGTTTTTCTAACAGTAAGGCTGCAAGTACAAGTCAACATCCGAGACAAACACTGCATTTTCTAGCTTTGCTGTTCTCTTGTCTCACCTTTTGTGTGTGTTTGTCTTGTTTTGTCTTCTTAGGAAATGGGATCAGACTTTAACAGCAGCAGCAACAGTGACAGTTCCAGCCCATCTGAACTAACTTTTTTTCCCCAAAAAGGAGTTACAACCTTTGGCTAGGCCATCAAACTAGGGGGTTTCTTTCTAAAAACATTCTTCAGCGGGGGGGGACAGCTCAGTGGTTTGAGCACTGGCCTGCTAAACCCAGGGTTGTGAGCTCAATCCTTGAGGGAGCCAGTAAGGGATTTGGGGCAAAAATCTGTCTGGGGATTGGACTAGATGACCTCCTGAGGTCCCTTCGGGGGGGGGGGGGGATTGGGAACAAGGGATGGTGTTAAAATGAAAGCCTTAATATTTTGTATTTCAGATACTACATTGTTTTTTCACTTTTGTATCTTTAATAAAAAGTGTGTGTTTGCCATGGTATTAAGCAGACTGAGCTCTCTGTATACCAAACCCCAAACTTTGTTTAAAACTGTTTAATGTTGGACAGTGACTGGATTATGTTAACATATACTCCATATACATTAATACAATAGGCCTCATTGGGTCAGGTATTGTACCAACACATATGAAGAGACTGTAGTTGTCCCAAAGACCTTATCAGTGTTAACTTGGCCAAATTGTACATACAATACACTAAATCTATTTAGTTAGTAGTCTATAAGAACTAAACTAAAGTTACCATATGTATACAATGTATTTGAATGAACATTGTCATTAGATCTTAAACTTTTGCATTTCCTCACCTTTCGGGTTCAAAATTGCAAATTTAAATACTGCATTATCAAAGAACTTGAATGTATGAAACTATTTTTAAAAGATAAAAACAATATTGAGTTCTAGAATTACATTGTTTAAAAGCAAAAGCTACAGCATTTCCTATTGCATGACATTATTAAAGGTGAAAAACCTAGCTGTGATACTATGTAATGCCACAATCCAATACTATAGAATTTTTTTTTTAAACTGAACATTCATTAAATGAATTCAGTAGCTTTTTAACATTGTCTTCCCAATCTGACTGAGACTTTGCCACTATCCATGTGTAACATTTTATTTTTTTAGTTCTGAAGTTCATTTGTTTGAGTTACCCAGGAGAAAGACATTTGTTTTAATATAAACAGATTAAATACTTCTCTCATCCCCATACCCCACTTGGAGAACTCAAATCGTTGAAGGGATTTTAATCAGTTTTCCCACACAACTGTCACAGCATAAACATCTTAATCTCAAAATGAGTTAAGAAATTGAGTGAATGAAAATGGGATGGAGGGGCAAAGTTTTAACCTTAACTACTGCAAAATGTAAGGTTTCCATATTTCATAAATGGTAGACTATTATTAGAAATACCTCATTCCAATGTTCTGTAACTTGCTCCAAATTAGTTTTCGGTAGAAGAAAAGCATGTTCTTCTGGAACATGGTCTCCGTGATGTAGAAAAATGATCTGAGTAGCTGTACAATATAGGTATCCATAAGCCAGTATAGGAACTTGGCCAAAATTTCTTCACGGTAATGGTGTTCCAAAGCAGGAACAAAATGATCACCTACAATAAGCAGAATTCAATTATATTCAGAATCTGTCATTCACATTTCTAAAAGCCAACATGCACGCACAGTATTTTTTAGGCTGAGGTTGGAAAAGGGAGATCGAGAAACTGCCAAACAATTTTACAATAACTGGTCCTCCAAGTAGCCTAAGGCCCCCCCCCCTTTTTTTTTATTTATTTATTAGGTAGGCAGACTTTAAGCATGGCCCATGTTAAGTATAAAGATAAAAAGAATAGTGTGTAGTTGCAAAATGCTTCATAGGAAACCAATATAAGTGTTGAAATGGAACCATTCAAATCAGCGATAAATTTAGTAGCCCAAAGGAGAAATAATTATATCTAGCTTACTTTCCCCACTCTCTAGCCCTTGGCATGGAGAGAAAACTCTTGCATGCACAGTGGCAAGATAGTGTGAGGGAAAAGATGAAACTGGCCCTAAAGTATTACAAAAGAAGAGATGCGAGCTATTAGTTCATGGACTGTTTTATAAGCAAATGATGAAAATTTTGAACCAGATTCTGAAATTAATGGGGGAGCTAGTGGGGCTAACTGAGGAAAAGTGCAATACTTGTGCTTCCTAATAAACTTCTACACAGATTAATTGCAGAGGTGGATTTTGTTCAAGTGGACATCATAAATTAAAAACGTAATGGCTGTAGTCTGGATTTCAGTTGCAGTTATCTTTGGTTTGTCAAACATTGTACTAAAAATATTCTGATGGCCCAATAAAGTGAGATCACCTCAGATCACTGTCATATTCAAACTGGATGGTATCTTTTTTGGTAGTCATGCAATGGAAGCAATAAAAATACTGCCCTACAATGCAGGATTTATGATGCTCTGCCAGAAATATTTTCAAATTAAATGCACAATCAACATTAAACAAAACATGCTAACACGACAACTAAAATAAATCAAGAAGTGAAAAGGTTATGATTCCTATAGACATGTTAACTCAGCCATATCTCACATGGGTGGTAATTTTGATTCCTGTTAAACATATTTCCAAACAAAACATTTCATAAGAGAGTTACAGTTGAAACTCGTTTACCCCATCTGTAAAATGGGGATACAAGTATATCCTTGTCCCCAACCCTTTATATATCTCGCCTGAAAGCTCTTTAGGGCAGGGACTCTATACAGCACCTAGTACACAAAAGGGCCTCAATCTTGGTGGAAATCTGCCATAATTTAAATAAATAAAATAAAGTGTGTTTCAATGGATGTCAGGTAACATCACCGAAAAAAACACACTAAACATTTGAAAAACTCTGAAAATGAAATTCTAGCATCCAGGCAATAAAATAAACATATGAAAGTAACAGATTTGGAAGTTCTTTGCAACAGCTAGTTAATTTTCTACATATGGGACAACAGATGTAAATCTCTCACCATTATGGAATCAGTCTTTAGAGAAGGGATGGAGGACAGGAAAAAAGATGCTACTACTCACAGAGAAAAAAGGTTCCGATCCACCAAACTGCAAAGCATGCTTAAATGTTAAGCATATACTTAAGAGTTTTGCAGGATCAGGGCCAAAAACCAAGATCCTACTGGAGTTTCTAGGGAGGATATTCTCTGAAATACAGTGAGTCAAAAAGATATTAGCTGAAATTTAAGAATTTGGGACACTAAAAATCTGTATCCAGATATTTTGAAAATGCATTTTCTGATGCACCCAAAATTACTAACCAAAATATTTGTGTTATGGTTGGACACAGCATAACAAGTATCAAGAAGTTTGGTTTTCACCAAGTTGAAAGGGACTGAAAATAAGCTTTATAGTTGGAGGTTTTTTCTTCTCATTTCATACCTGATGACAAATTGAAAAAGCTACTTGGCTTTTAATATTGAATTATAATTGACAAGAAGTACCATGTGACCTAAGAATAACCAATACATCCTACAAAAGAACTGATTAAAGTTTCTATAATTATAAATGTCAAAAGGCCTAATACCCCCCACCTTAGGTTCTTCTGTAGTATGGGGTGTTAAAGGGGCTGAAAGCTCAGGCTACCTCTACACTATATACCACTGGCAGCAGCATTTACCGTACATATAGCTACACACCACAGTGAAAAGCACACCATTACCACTTTACGCTGCAGCGTGAAAGGCTCCAGCAGGAGGCAGGAGGACACTGCTGCTAAAAACGGTGGCGTAGACAGGGAGGCATGACTTGGGCAAGTAGAGAGCCACGTCGGGTATGTATTAGAGTACATACACACACTCTTCAAGCATCTCTTTACTCTCCTAAGCTGTGCCTCACAGTCTACACTGCTATTTATACCCATGCTAGGGGTCTACACATGTATGTACGTTACATGCTGCTGAAAGAAGCATGCAGTGTGGATGCACTTTTAATCTTTAATACGTTAACCCTCACTTGTGAGGGAGGGAAAAGTGCTATTATCCCCATTTTCCAGATGGGGAACAGAGACACTGAAAAACTAAGTAACTTGCTCAAAGTCACACAGGAAATCTGTGGCAGAACAGGGACTTGAACTCAGGTCTCATACGCTAGTGCCCATACCACTGGACCATGCCATTGCCTTCACACAGACTGTGGAATCCTAGGGAATCACACAGATCCTGGAGTGATCAGCGGATGGTCCTATGCCAGCTCCCAGTCTCCAGTGGCTTCCAAGCTTATGACAACTCCCAGACCTAATGACTGCCCCAGAGGCTCTTCTCCTTAAAGAGGAATCACACCTACAGCAGGGGGATCCACAGTAACATAACAGAATTTGGGCACCTTCACTCACTGCCCTCTTTGCCTGCCTTCTGCATAGGTCCCAGCATTCACAAAGCACCCATCTTTGTGTTGCAGTGAGGAACATGTTGCTCTGGTGAATGCCAACCCATTCCCCATAAGAGAGACGGACCCATGCGTAGAAGATCCCCTCTGCATGCAGGGAGTACAATCTGATCCAAAGCTAGGTATGAGAATTACAGATGCCTCAAAGTCTTTTATTAATGTCTCACTTTACCTAGTATAATTTCTGAAGTCTTAAATTATTAAACACAAAAAGCTTCTGATGTTTGTCACATGATACAAGACACTTAACTGCATTTAAAACACTGCCTGAGATTTTTGGAGATTTTCTTAAAGCCCCTGCTTCTGATTCATATTATTTCATGAGAATCTCAGCTTTCATTGAAGTAAAGTTCTAGCTCTCATGGTCATGGAGAAAAGCTTGGAAACATGAAGCAAGTGCACCCTAAAACCACAGAAATCAGAAGGTAAATTAAAAAAAAAGTCTATTTTTTTTTTAATTCTTGTAATTTTTAATCCAATATTGTGATTTTTGTGTAGCCTGACTCGTGATTTTTGAATGCTTGGAGTTAGGGTGACCAGATCACCCAAGTCAAATATCGGGACGCGTGGGGGAGGGCAGGGGGCGTGGCGGGAGGGGGCAGGGCAAAAAAAAACTAAAACAAAACAACCACCCCCCCCCCCACACAAGCGCTGGAGGGAGGCCCGGGAGATGCAGGGGAAGCACGGGGCCGGGGTGAGTGAGAGTCCGGCCTGGCCCCGAGTGCAGGCAGGACTCAGTCGGGCGGTAGGGAGAGTAGGGGGGCGGCCCGCAGGGCCAGGCGGCGGCTGTTCTCCCCCCTGGGCAGCGGGACTTGGGAGCAGCCGCTGCTGCAGCTCCCACTGCCGCGGGGGGGAGGAAGTGGCCGATGGCCAAGCTCGGCGACTGCGGCTCTGGCACCCCCGAGTCCCCTGAGCCTGGGCCTGCTGCGGGGACCCAGCAGCACACACGCTGCACCCAGCCCCTGGCCAGTCGCATCTGGGCTGTTGCCCAGCTGGTGCTATCCCGCGGCGGCCCCGAAGTGGGGGCAGCAGGCCCCAGCCCCCCCTGTCCCACTCGTGTCCTGCAGGGAAACAAACGGGGCTGGGCTGACGATGCCTCCGCCCCGGGGCCGCCGCGGGATAGCACCAGCTGGGCTCGGCCCAGGCGCCAGAGCCACAGCCGCCGAGCTTGGCCATCGGCCGCTTCCTCCCCCCGTGGCAGGGGGAGCTGCAGCAGCCCAGGGGAGGAGAACAGCCACCGCCTGGCCCCGCGGGCCACCCCCCTACTCTCCCTACCGCCCGACTGAGTCCTGCCTGCACTCGGGGCCAGGCCGGACTCTCACTCACCCTGGCCCTGCGCTTCCCCTGCATCTCCCTGGCCTCTCTCCAGTGCTTGTGGAGGAAGGAGGAATGGTGAGCCTGGGGAAGAGGCAGGGATTCGGGGAGGGAGCCAATGGGGGAAGGAAGGGGCAGAGTCGGGAAGGGGGGGGCGGGCGTGAGCACTTCCGAGCTCCGGGGTATTTGCTTGTTTGGCCAGTGTCCCGACGTCTGGTCACCCTACTTGGGGTTGATAATACTGCATTTATAATGTGAGATTTTAAATAAATGTGCATCAATTAAACACATCAGTCCCATTAGTACTTCTGCATTCACACGGAAATGAATGGTTTCTTTAAGATCAAGTATTACAGTAATGTGAGACATAAGATCCTGATTCAGGAAAATACATAAGCACAAGAATAACTTTGAACAAGTGTCATTAACTTCAATGCTCAATATACCCATTAACTTCAATACACTCAAAGTTATGAAAGTGCTTAATCAGATAGATAGGAGAGAAGAAGACTGATTTTTCTGTTTTTCCTGTCTTAATCTATCCTATAAATGAAGTTCAAGGTTTTTTTTTTTTTAAATGTGCAAGTGTTTGTTAGATAATGAATGTCAAAAAATATTAAGTGTTGAAACAGCAATGGACTAGTTTCATCTCATATCTGTAAGACTGCCTTCTTGATTTTCACTAAACTTATCAAAATATGGCCATGAATGAGATTCTATGAAATTTCAAGCAAAAAATTAGTTTGGGGGTATTTAGAGGGGTGGGGAGGGTGAAAAAAAAAGTCAAACTTACAACAGATGGGTAGCTGGAGCTCTAACCTATGAAGGAACTAGCACTCCTCCCTAATAATTTTACTATTTCAATTTTACAATATATCCATGATGTGTATTGGGGCTTCATTAACATTTCTGTAGGACCCTTAACTTTTTCATTTCCTTTCTCAAACATGTAAACTTCAAAGTGGTGTTAACACAGGTCTTCCATTTAAATTTCCTTTCTTAAATAAAAAGGAAAGGAAAAGGAATTTCCCAGACTTAATAATATTAGCCTTTAGTTCCTAGTTTGGGCAATGTCTATACTAGGAAGCCTATGCCAGCGTTGCCCCCTAGTGTAGACATATTAAGTGATTTTTCAGTTCATAATAAATTTTAGAGCAAACCATTTCCCCCCCAGACTTAACAGGGGGTGATCCTTAATGAGGATCTGTATACCATCTCTGAAATTTAAAAGATCAGTCATTTGCTAGTTATCTGTCCGGAGAAAAAAAACACGACCTGGCAGCAAGAGAGGCCTGTGTCAGTTTGGGTCACACACATATGTTTCTAAATTGCATGCTGCCATACAAGACTGGACTATCTAGTTTGATATCCTATCTCTAATATTGGCTGGTACCTGATGCTTCAGAGAAAGGGACAAAAAAATAGGTCATGGAACAGCATCCACCCCACAAAGGAAGTTTCCACCAAACCAACACTCACCCCCAGAACAGCTTAGTATAAGACTTATATCCTGCAGGATAAGGGTCTCTCTCTGAAGTTTTTTTGATAGTCCTAATATCAATAAGCTCAATACTTTTTAAAAGTCCTGCTGAACTCTTGGGAGCCATTTATATCTTTTGCCAGCAAATTCCAGTTTAACTCTGCATTTTGTAGAAGGGTATTTTCTTTTGCCAGTTTTAAATTTGTTACCTTTTAGCCTAATTGGATGTCCTCTCATAATTCATGAGTAAGCTTTCCCAGCTGCGCTTCTCTATATCATTTGTTATTTTCTATAACTCGATCATGTCCCCTCTCTAAACTAAACAGTGATTTTTTTTTCCCCCTCTGGACACCTTCTACATATTTTGTTTTGAGTTAAAGTGACCAAAACTGAACAAAGTATTCATTGCGAGAGTCACGCTATCCAATATGCATTATTTCAGATCTAACATATTAAAACACAGTGAAGAAATTTAAGAAACCACCTTCAGGCAGAGACATGGAAAATGTAAGTTTAAATAGTGAAAGTTTCAAGCACATAGGAACAGGGAGTTGTAAAGGAACCTGTCTAGCTATTAGCTACAGAAAGCACTATCTGGGGCCAGTTGGTATAATTTTTAGTCACAGGTATTTTTGGTAAAAGTCATGGACACATCACAGGCAATAAACAAAAATTCACAGCCCGTGATTTATCCATGACAGACTAAAAATACCTGTGATTAAATCAGGGGGGGAGAGGGAGAGGGGGCGGAGGTGTTTTGCTGGAGAGGTGTTGGAGGCCGCTGCTGGGGGGGGCGGCAGGCCTGGGGCATTGGACCGCAGCTGCTCCGGCCAGCCACCCAAGGACCGCCGCCTGGGGCCAGCGGTCTGCAGCTGCTCCGGGACCGCTGCTGGGGGCTGCCGGAACAGTGGCTGGTGTGGCTGTACCTGGGGCTGCTCCAGCAGTGGCTGGTGTGACTGTCCTGGGGGCCACCTAAGCAGCTGGCCCCAGAGCCAGCTGCTTGGGCGCCCCTGGGGTCAGCCACACTGGCCTCTGCAGAAGTCACGGAGGTCACAGAAAGTCACAGAATCTAGCCCTAATAATAAGCAACCACACTAGCCTTTCAACACTGAACATTCAGTTCAAGTCCTCACTTGGGTTCTGAACGTTGGTCAGCTGCCTCCACTGTATAATGCCTTATTTTAATATTACAATTAGTACCTTTGATCACACGAAGCCACGTACAGTCATTCACTCTCATCTTCCACATTAATTCCTGCAAAGAAAACCTGGCAAATTTTCCCAAGGAGATGAATGTTTTCACATTTTTTAAAAAACGGCATTTGTTATGGCTAGAACCCCACAGTTCTGCTGGTACCACCAGGTCTAAACATTCCCGCACGAAAACATACACCTGCCAGTGGCTGCTGTGCTGTCTGAGAAGCTCCTTCAAGCTAGGATCACAGAAGTCTTTAGCATTTTGTCTTTCATTTTCTGTTCGCCCCAACACAAATTTCTCAGGGTTGCTTAAGATACTTAAATCAGTTGAAGTTCTTTTTGAAAGTGAACACGAACTATTTGGAACAGCACTGTAACCACCTTCTCTGCCATTGCTAGTCAAACATATAGGAGGCTCTTTCCCAAGTTGACCTTCTGCTTCCCTATCAATCTGTACTCCATCACATGAAACTGACTGACACATTGTATCAGTTTTGCTTGAATTTGTCTCAGAAATCCAGACCGGACAATTCTTTTTTAAAAGTACTAAATAGGGACACTTTGCATGATTCTTTAACAATTTTTGAAATACATCTCTCATCTGCCAGTAGCGTCTGGGCAATCTCTTCTTTCTCCAGTTGTAACTTGGTGTGTTTTCACTGCATTTTTGCACCAATATTTTGCTGTTTAAGAATATCGTTTCTACAAGTCGTCGTCCCCCTGCCTGGCAGCCTTTTAAGCGATTCAATAAAAATGATTTAGGAAAACATTCTCGGAAGCTCCTGGAAGAATATAAGAGACCTTTCCTCCCAATGTACACTCTGGAACGTGAGATTTTATTGGATAGCTTCTTAGCTATATTAGTTGGGGGGCACTTAAGCCCTCTGTATTTTAAAAATGTATCTTCTGCTTTTTTCGTTTGTACAGAACCAACCTGAAATTTACAGATATCTAGCTCAACTCCCTCTCTGCTGGAATTTGATTTAGTCTCGGTGCTAGATTTATAAAGTTTATTACACTGAACACGCAGCCTTAACGAATTCTCATCATCTGTCATAGACTTTTCCTTACTATCTTGAGCTTCCTGCACTAAAGAAGGTGCATCAGGAGTCTCTGCTCTGCCCTCATTTTCTTGAGACTTTATTTTAATAAAGTTATTTACAGAAAATGATTCTACAAATGAAAGAGACTGTGTATCATAAATGATGTCCAGAGTGAACTTATTTTTATCTACATTAGAACCAAGGTTCCAAGCACCCTCTTCTTCCCTTAGGTTTATCTTCATCCTTTTAGCTGTAACTTCAAATTGATCCCTATCAAGCTTCCTTTTTGAAGGTGTGGCTGTAGCAACTGGATATAGGTTAGGTCCTCTGCGATTTTCCAGGTGTCCAGTGGCCATTCTGACCTGTTTGTTTGTTTTAGAATTTTGCCTAACAGCTCCCTTAGCTGTGGCAGAATGCTCATAATCAGGCACAGAGCCTTGTGTTTTATTATTCCTTTGACTTTTAGTGTTCAAGATATTAATTTCTGATCTTGGTTTCCATTTCCACCTGTTTGTCTTTGATAACTGAAATCTTTTTTGCACGTAGTCAAACAAAATATTATGTCTACTTTTTGAATACCTTTGTTTAACAAACACTGCGGAGGGTGCTGCATTACTTGAAGTAAGCTCATACACAGGCTGCCCACATATTTGATAAGAGCAACTAGGTGGCACTAGCATAAAGATAGCACAGTGTTCCAATAAATACATCATAACATCATCCCCTATCCTGCTCAATAACGTTTCCCATAGGACACTCATCCGAAGAGTTTCTGTTGCAGTATTAGGTAGATAGCTGCATATATTTGAAGTAGATATAACCTGTGAATAGGAACTGTTTTCATCCAATAATGTATACCCAAATGCAAGGACATTCTTCTTCTTTTTTTCACAAAGTCTTTGAATGACTCTTATTACTACTTCACTTTCACTAGATAACTGAAGAGAGAGAGAGAAAAAAGTTAATTTTACATGTCAGACCCCCTTATAAACAACAGATACACCGTTTTATTAAAAGGTGTGTGCAAGAGCATGCAAAGCCCCAAACTCTGGTTCTAGATTAAGACTTTTAAAAACAAGATTAAGGATTATGCCACATTATGTCACATTTGAAAACTCCTACTCCAGGCTATGACATATTGAAAGCTACAACTCTGAATTTAGGCAAGTCAATAACCTCTCATTTCCCCTTATGTAAAATTGGCAAAATTCTTTCTCCCCCCACTCACTGTCTATCCTGTCTATTTAGATTGTAAATTCCAGAGGCTGTCTCCTATTGCTTGTCTGCACAGCACCTAACAAAACAGGGTCCCGGTCTTGGTTGGGGCCTTCAAGTGCTACCGTAAAATTAACAACAATAAAATATCAGCTCATGGTTTTACAAATTGGTCAATAAGCTTATAGCTGGAGTCCCATTTCAATAATTGTATACAGTAGCTTTGAGAGAGAAAGGGAAAAAAGATTTTGTTGTTTACATAATAGAACAGAATTGTTTCTCTTTATATTTTCCTAAAATGTGAAAATATTATTCAGCTCTGATTACACAAACCACTGTTTTTAATTTTTAGATGTTAGTGTACAAGGAAAATACAAAGGCAAGGAACCTTACATATATAATCTTTTATTTAACCCTGATTTGACTCTGATCTAGATGCAGCCTATGGACCAGGAAACTTGCTCTCATCCATCACCATCAAGGAAACAGGAAAAACCACCCCACTGCAGGGCTTGTGACAGGAGAACCTAAGAGACAGCCCCTGCCCCCAGGCCACAGAGATTACCTAGCCCCAAGAATAAACGTAATCGCCTGAGTGGCTGTTGTCTTAAAGAAAAATTGCATGATTAACTCACACATAAACCAAGAGTATAGAAGAAAAGAAGAACAGAAGAGGAAACAGGAGCAGCACCATTACATGTGGAGGGCAAGGAGCAGGGTCGACATTAGATCCACGAGCCAATTAAAGACCATAGAAAAACAACAAAAAGCTTCATGATTCTCCCCCCACACACACTTTTGTGGGGACAGCTGAGCGATCTGGGGCTGGAGGGAGAAACAGAAGTCAGTATTTGCAGCAACCATTAATTGGGTGCAAACACTTTTACAGATTCTTGCAGTGCAATGTCCCCAGAAACGTCCACCGCCATGCTGACTGCCGCCCAAGCAGCACTATCACCCCCACGCTGTGCATTTCAGAATCGCTGTTTTAGTGAGAAGAGAAGAAAAGCCAGGCTAGGAAAGCAGAGAGGCTCTTCCTTCCAGACGAGGTTACTCTGGTGCTTGCTAGAGTACAAGCAACCAGAAGAACAAACTAGGCCAGGAGTACAGAGTCTGCTGTTCAAAAGCGGATTAATTCAAATGTTTTTCAGTGGAAAAGGCAAGAAGTCAGGAACCATTTATTTCGCTCCAACAAGAGGCTTGCGGTGTAGGCGATAGCTGCCCACCACAGAGTGGGGCACGCCAGCCTCCTCCCCGAAGCGTCCTCCCGCTGCCCAGCGAACACCGACCCCCGGCCCAGGCAGTACCTGTTGGAAGGAGAGGGGCTGGGGGATGGCTCGGGCTCCCCGAGGGACGCACACCACGCACTGGGACACAAACGTCTGGTAGAGCTCGGAGTCTCCGCGCTGCAACAGTTCAGCTTCGCCAGGCCCGCAGGCAGCCGCCTCCCGGAGCCTCTGCACAAACTGTTCAAGCCCCAGCACCTCGGCATAGCAGCCTTCCAGCATGGCCAGCACGACACGAAAGGGCCCAGAGCCTGCCATGCTTCTGGAGTCGAACTGAGCCGCCTCCCTGCTGGGACCGACCCACCTTTCCCAGAAGCACTAATGTCTCCCTCCCAGACCCACAAATTCCGCGTGTGCCGCTGTACCTATTGAGTTCCCCGGGCCCGGAGCAACAGCTCTACAGCAGCGACAACTCGCTCACCCCCAGCCCAGGGGCAACAGGAAACCAACACAGTCCTATTGGCTCCTGCACATGCTCACACTCCTGCCTGCGCAGACCTACTGAGTGAGCCTGTTCGCACCCCGGCCGCAGGGCCTGCACAAGGCCCCCGGGAGCGCCGCCCTTTCCCTGAGCGGGCTTCACTGGCGCCGCACGCGCCCCGGCGCAAAGGAGCAGACTAGGCATAAGGGGCAGGGGAGCTGAGGTTAGCAGAGAGCTGGGCGGGAGGCGTGCGTACCATGCAGGAGTTGAGGTGGAGGCGGCCCAAGGGCTGGGCTGGAGGAAGCATGCTGTTTCTGCGAGGAGTGAACTGTTTCCACACCATATTTGTCAGTTAGGATTGTGCAGCGACCGCTCACTTTCTCTGTGGAGAGAGAGAATGCATTTAAACAAAGAGGTTCTAAAAGAGATTCGTTTAGCTCTTTTTATTTAATTATAGGGCACAGTGCTTAATTAGAAAAGTTAGGGAGGCTGATCTGTGGGTAGGATGGGGAGGCAATCATCCAAGTTCTGTATCTGGTGTTCTCCATGCCATGTGCACACTGCAAAGTTTGCTTGACTCAAAGTTAGGTCAGTGCGGCCACCAACTTCTGTGTATCGATTGGGTGTGTGCATACTTGGGTGCTTGTGATGGTCCTCTTTAAGGTGCCACCGGACTTCTGGTTGTATTTGTGATGGTCCTGTGTGTACTCACCATGAGTGAGTGCGTCAGTGTAAACATGGTACACCACAGGTAAGTATGTCGGTGTGCCCCATGTTGCTGTCCAGCTCAGTGCCTTGTGGTGTGTTTTCACAGTGCTTTGTGATATACAAGTGATTTGCCAAGGGATTTCTAAGAGCTGGAGGTCAGGTTCCCACAACGCCACTTTCTCCATCCCATAATTTTCATGCCTTTTTTTAAAACTCCCACAATCCTGTGCACCACTTTTTAGTCTCCAACATTGCTCTGGCAGAAGCATGTATCCTGCACATGTATCAGCGCAATTCTCATGAGTATTGCTAATACAGGATGCACGATTCTCCTGTATTTGCAGAACTTGAATAAGTACTATTACAACCTAGAGTTACCATATATCCAGGTTTTCCCAGATCTGGACATTGTCTCTTTTTTGATCCGCCGCCCTCTCCCTGGGTGCATTTTTTCAATTAAGAGGCAACGTGTGGGATTTTTGCAGCTCAGAAAGCAGAGGCATCAACTTTCTAATTTTTCCGGGGGTGCTCGATCTCTACTCTGCCTCAGGCCCTGCCCCCACTCCACTCCTTCCCCCAAGGCCTCACCCCACCTCTTCCCACCCTGTTCCTCCCCCAAGCGCACCCCACCCTCCCCCCAGCGCCTCCTGCACACCACTGAACAGTTGATCACCAGCAGGCAAGAGGCGCTGATCATCAGGACCCACCTGTAGGTGGGAAGTGCTGGGGGGAGGGGAAGGAGCAGATCAGCAGGGCTACCAGGGGGTGCTGAGCACCTACTATTTTTTTTTTCCTGTGGTTGCTCCAGCCCCAGAGTACCCACAGAGTCAGTGCCCATGTCAGAAAGAGTCCTCTCTGTGCCCTGATTGGTCCCTCTCCTGCATCTGCAGCTGATTGGTCTGTTCCCCCACAGCCACAGCTTCCAGATCCCACCCACCCAGGCCCCAGCTCCCAGCCTTGGGGTGGAGGGCCTGGATGGATGCGCTGACTGGCAGTTTGCACTGGGTCCTGACTCCTGGCCTTGCACCAGCCATTCTGACACTGTGACAGGGAGCAACACTGCTCCCCACCAAGATAGTGAGGCTGCAGGTACCTTCTCTAGCACCCCCCAGGTACTCCCTTCAGTACAGACACACCCCTCCAGTGTGCACACACCCTTCTAGCACTTCCAGATACCCCCCTCAAGTACACACAACGCCTTCAGCATTCCCAAATACCTTCTTCCTGTACACAGCCCTCCAGCACCTCCCAAATACCCATCCCAGTATACACACACAGACCTCCAGCACTCTCCAACTGTACCCCCGTCCAGCTCCCTCCTCCGCCATGGCAGTGTCCTCTTTTTGCAGGGCCGTCTCCAGGCACCAGATGAGAAAGCACGTGCCTGAGGCGGCACATTGTAAGGGGTGGCATTCCGGCCAATCTTGGGGCGGCACATTCCCGCCGCCCTGCCGTGGTTCTTTTTTTTTTTGCTTTGGCAGCCTGGTCCGCAGCTCCGGAGCCCCTGGCTGGCTCCCTGCGCTCCGCCAGTCCCAGCCCAGCCCTGCAAGGGCATGGACCCTGACCCGGGGGGGGCGCAGGAACTAGCAATCCCCGCCGCTCATAGTGCTGCCGGGCTTCCCGAGACGTGCCACTCCCCGCTGCCTGCACTGGCCTCCCCCTCCCGCGCCACTCTGAGCCCGGCCCAGCCGAGCCGCCTTTAAAGTAGCGGCTGAGCCAGCACCTCCTGCAGTCCCCGGGGGCTCTGCCTGCCCGGCCGGGAGAGAAACCCAAAGGCTGGAGCGGGGAGCCCCTCTCGCCCGGCTGCGAGGTGCCGCCCTTCACCCCTCTGCGACTTGCCTTGACCGCCCTCCACGCGCTCCCTGCAGCTGCCAGTTTTTGTTGTTTTTTTCGCTTCAGCAGTCTGGCTGCCCGCTTTCTTTTTTTTTGCTTGGGGCGGCTATAACTGGATGCTGATTCACACTGTGAAAATAAAACCACCAGGTTGGGGCTGACATACACAGAGCAGCTCCACATTGTGAATTGCCACTTCTAGGCCCAAAAAATGAGCACTGATAGGTGGGATCCTATCATAATGCAGTTTTGGGTAAATGAGCAGTGGCTGCAGAACATTTACATGCTAAAGGCCACATTACTGGATGAGTGTGTGTGACATTCTATACCCTGGTGGAGTATACTGTAACGCCCATATTCCTAATTTTCATATAATCCTGATCTTACATATAAAGAAGTTATCAGGGGAAAGGTTATGATCTGCTGAAAGTAATTTCTCTATCCATATATATGTATCATTAATGCATACAGAATTATGTTGTATGGTGGTCAGTAAAACATGCTGTAAATTGGGGAATCAGCCAGATATTATCTCCCCAGAGGCAACAGCAAGGAAAGTAATCAACGCCCAGGTGGGGTGTCAAACAATCCATCAACAGCCATTGTCCAGCAAGGGAGCTACAATGCAATGACTCACCTGCATGAGGCCACACCAGGAGAATTGCTGAACCTTGCTTGGAGAGACTCAGCAATGCCCCCCAGACATGCCTGGACTTGTGCTCCCCAAGCACATGAACTGAGGGTATAAAACAGAGTGGACACATACTGGGCCCTTCTCCTGCCCCCATCTTCACTGCAAGCAACTAAGACACTGAGAAGAAGACAAGACTCCAACAGAGGAGATTGGCCCAGGTTTAAGAAACAAACCTGTATATTAAGGACTGCAATATCCAGTGGGGTGAGAAAAGCTGCTTAATCCAGATGTTGCCCGGTGTAATAGTGTTGAGAGGTTAGACTGCGTGCTTATATTTTATTTTATTTTGGTAACCACTCTGACTTTTTGCCTATCACTTAATATCACTTAAAATCTATCTTTGTAGTTAATAAATCTTTTTGTTTATTCTACCTGAAGCAGTGTGTTTGGTTTGAAGCGTGTCAGAGACTCCTCTTGGGATAACAAGCCTGGTACATATCAATTTCTTTGTTAAATTGACAAACTCATATAAGCTTGCAGCGTCCAGTGGGCATAACTGGACACTGCAAGATGGAGGTTCCTATGGTTGTGTCTGGGACCAGAGATTGGCTAGTGTCATTTGGTTGCACAATCCAAGGAGCAGTTTACATGCCAGAGGCTGTGTGTGAACAGCCCAGGAGTGGGGGTTCCCACAGCAGAGCAGGGTAAGGCTGGCTCCCAGAGTCAAGGATTGGAGTGACCTAGCAGATCACCGGTCCAGATAACACCAGGGGAACGTCACAGTGTGCTGAGCTCACTCCAGACCTTGAGCACAGGGACACCAGAATGAGAGCTGGATTGACAGTGGAGAACTCAGTGGTGATCACACTCTGGAAGCTTGCAGTGCTGAAGTGCTATCAGTCAGTAGGCAATCAGTCTGGGGTTGGACCATCCACAGTGGGATCCGTTGTCATCCATGCACTTAAGCATCCATCTCCTGCTACACAGGACTCTGACTTTTGGTAATGAACAGGAAATAGTGGCTGGATTTACAGCAATGGGGTTCCCAAACTGTGATAGGTGATAGCACACATATCCGTATTCTTTTATGCAGTGTTGTTGTAGCTGTGTCAGTCCCAGGATATTAGAGAGACAAGGTGGGTGAGGTAATATCTTTTAAAGGACCAACTTCTGTTGGTGGGAGAGCTTTAGAGCTCACACAGAGCTCTTTGGGTGGGAAACATACTCAGCATGTCACAGCTAAATACAAGGTGTAACAGGTTGTTTAGCATAAGTAGTTAACATATATTTCAAGAGACGATTCAAGGTGAAATGGCCCATTAACACTCCTCCAGTTATAGGGGGGAAAGGAAGGGAGGGGAGGAAAGGCAGCTGGGAGCGTGGGGTTGTTAACGGATGACAGGTTATTGTTATTGTCTTTCACACCAACAGAAGTTGGTCCAATAAAAGATGATATCTCACCCACCTTGTCTTTCTAATCTCCCTATTCTGGCATAATCCAACTTTATCACTGAGTACACCAAGATAAAAGGATAGTTTTCCATGGTTATGCAAGCATTAGTGGATTACTGGGAACACTTCGCTATCAGTGTGGGCTGGTGAGGGAAGATGCATGATGTGCTTCTCTTTAAGAACTCAGGACTTTTGAAAACACTGCATGCAGGAACATTCTTCCCTGACCAGTGCATTATCATTGGCAATGTTGAAATGCCAATAGGGATTCTGGGAACCCAGCCTTCTGTGGAACCTTTGCTGACCATGTGACAGCACCAAAGAAAGAAGCAGCAAGATGATTGTTGAATGTGCATTTGGTAGATGGAAAGGACACTGGCACTGGATCTCAGCAAGGCAAACATCCCCTTTATGATCATTGCATGTTGTGTACTGAAATAATATCTGTTGAGGCAAAAGGAGAAAAACTGCCACTAAGGTGGAAGGTCAAGCTGGTCCATCTATCTGCTGAATTTGAACAGCCAGACACAAGAGCTATTAGAAGAGCCAATCATGGAGCTATATAACTG